GACGGGAGGATTTATGCGAGTTCAAGGCCAGACAAATCTATATAGAGAGACCCCGTCTCAAAATCAAAAAGATATACTTAAAAATACATTACAGCTTCACAAACCAACTATTTTGGAGACTAATGCAGGCTTACTGTGCCCTAAACTATTGGTCTTTTGGTTGTCAGTGTTTCAGATAGCATTACTATTAGTGATACCCCAGTTTGAAAATTACCTGGGAACATAGTTGGTCTTATCTTACCTTGCCTGGCAGCAGAGGGTTTGAAAGTTCTTCTGCCTTCCTTTGGACCCATCTGAAGCCTGCCCCCTCTGATAGGATGCATGCCTGGTCCAGCATTGGACTCAAATGGGAGGAGTGTGTGTGGCCGACTGGGCTATGACCATCAGAATGCCCTTAAGGTTGAGGCAGGCATGTTTTCTGCAGAATACATAAGCCAAGATGGCTGAGTAGCCAGCTATAGCAACAACTGTCTTTGCTGGGATTGAAGGGGTATGAATAGATGTGGTCCTCAGGTGAGGATGTCCTCAAATGAGCCTTCAGTCAGTCCGTGTGCTTGATTGAACTCCTGGAGGTCTCCACTTTGTGCCAGACCACAGTTTTGGGCCTCTTATTATTTCTACCCCCAATTAACAAAATTTTCTGAATTTAAACTAGAATATTGAAATCCTCTATTAAGAGTTATTATTACTATCCATTATTTATCTTGAGGCTCTTGTTCTCTGTTTTCAACAGTCCGTGGAATCCTGGCCATTTTGCCCTATCCACACAGGGTACCATCTGTGTGAAAGGGAGTAACTTGGGTAAATCGGGGGACAGTTCAGGCTTTGTCTCTCCTTGCCTATCCCTCCCTTCTCTTCCTCCTCTTCACTTCTTTCCCCCTTCCCCTTGAGACAGAGTCTCATACTCTGGGCTAGCCTCCAACCCATCTCATAGCTGAGGATGACCTTGAGCTGATCATCTTCCAGGACTCGGGATTGGAGGCTTGCTATTCCACGAATGGTTTTATGAAGTACTAGGGATCAGACTCAAGGTTTCAAATGTACATGCTTGGAAAGCGCTCTTCAGCTGAGATCCATGGCCAGCTTACTTGCGGTTTTCCTAGGATTGCATTCTGGTGCAGGGAATTGTATGGGATTAGAAAGATGGCTTGGCCCTTAAAAAGGCTAAGGTTTCAACCAAAGAGATAGTAATTGTTTGTATAGCCAGGGGTTTGTGTTTTTGGCACACTGCTAAAAGTGACAGGACTCTGTCACTGTCCTGGTGACACATACTATCTCCTAGTACATAAACAGAAAGAGGTAGAGAAAATCAAAAGAGGCCAGGTCTCCTTTGGAATGCTAAACCAAGCTCCCAATTACACTAAAGGGAGTCATAAACCTTGATTGCTCTGGGAAGGTGCTTAGTAGCTATCAAATATTTAATTAGATCTTCATAAACTTCATTTACATATTAATGGAAAGGGGAAATTTCACTAGTTTTGCTCTACTCTTTTTTGTTTTTGTATGTTTTTCGAAACAGGGTTTTCCTATGTAACAGTCCTGGCTGTCCTGGAACTAGCTCTTGTAGACCAGACTGGCCTCGAACTCACAGGGATTCACCTGCCTCTGCCTCCCAAGTGCTGGGATTAAAGGCGTGCGCCACATGGCCTGGCCTTTTGGTTTGTTTTTTTCAAGACAGGGTTTGTCTTGCTAGTCCTAGAACTTACCCTGTAGACCAGGCTAGCCTCAGACTCAGAGGTGTGCCTGCACTAGAAATGAAAATGTGTGCACAGACTGGAGAGGTAGTCTTTAAGAGCACAAGTTGCTCTTGTAGAGGACCAAGATTTGGTTCTTATTGCCCACATGGTGATTTACAACCATCAGTAACTCCAGTTCCGGAGGCTCTGGCTTACCAGACATGCACGTGGTACACATCCATGCATGTAGGCAAAACCCCGCTAGAACTCCAGTAGCTCAGACTGGCATCAAACTTGATAGGTAGCTGTGGGTGACCTTGAACTTCTGATCCTTTTGCCTCTGAGACCTTTTTTAAAAATGTGTGTTGTTGTTTTGCATGCATGCATGTGTGTATGTATGTGTGAAAAGTCAGATCTTAGTGTGAGTGCTGGGAATCGAACCCCAGTCCTCTAGAAGAGTCATTTCCTGCCACTTGCCTCCGAGTCTGTTAGAACCACAAGTGTATACCACCATTCCAAGCTTGACAGCAAATTTGATTAATAGTATATAGATACCAATCCTACTGGACAGAAGAAATGATACAGGGATATCTTGAGTTGAGGCTCAAGTCAATATGTATAACGGAGCATTCATAGTGATCTAGACAAGGGAGTGAAGACAGGCCTCAAGTAAATTAAGGATATAGGTCTTGCAGTAGGGATTGCATTTTTATTAGGGAGACAATTATGTGCCAGTTTATAAGAAAGCAAGCTTCACACAGTAATACACACTGCATGAGAAGGTCACGCCTTGGGAACCTTCCAAGGGCATACTATGGCATAGAAACAGGCGTCACAGCTGCTCTTTCCAGCCATCCTGCGTCAGCCTTACGTGCTCAGACTAGAGGCACGTGATCGGCTCCAAGTGGTAACTAGCATGTCAGCTGAGCAGAGAAGCAGAACGAAGGGTTACAGGTTCTGAACAAGGCACTAGCTGCTGGTTTTCCCTTCCAGCCGTGATTCTCGCTGTCATTTAATCGGTGCTAGTCTGGTCTGAAGGATGGTAGGAAATGTATGACATAAGTTTAAGATTTCAGCCAGAGCCTAATAACAAATCTTAAAACAAATATCACCTCTTCTCTTGATCCCAGACTTGGAGGTTTTCTTTGTCATGGTACCAGAAGTCCATTTGCCTGAAGTTGCCATGGTTGTCATGACCTGGTCTTAAGCAGCTGGACAGTGTCCCTGTCATCCTCTGCCCCCTCCTGCTCTCACCTAGGAATGCACAAAGAGCCCAAGACCTGACTGGATGAGTTGGCCCAAGAAGGGTGGCAAGGCTGGTTATGGTCATCATGGCTGAGGTTGAGCCAAGCCTTGACTCTGGGATATGAGCTTCCTGGGTCAGAGGCAGGACTCATCTGGGGAACCTCCTGGCTCATTAGTGGGTGTCTGGGGATGTCTGAAGATGAAGCCCTCTGTTGCATTCATTTTTTCTTTTTTCTTTTTGGACAATCTAGTACTTTAGTCTCCAGGGGCTGCGATCTGATTTCTGTGTACTGGTCTGGAATTTGCTACAGATTAGTAGGGAAAACAAAACAACAAAATAAGCCTGAAGTTTTCAGGCTTGCATGCTTTACCTTGTGAGAAGGGTTCTTTTTTTTTTTTTTTTTTTTTT